CTGTTAGTAATCCCACATCTTCTGTCCATCAGCCATGACACTGCAGCAGTCTCGACAAGCACCTTTGATTATTCCTGTCATTTCCAATCACTCCCCAAGGGGTTACCATACATACAATCAACCTAAATGAAACAATGCCTGCTTGACATCCATACCGTCTGTGTATACATATATACATATTAACGTATAATTACCGTGCATTTCTTTCTTTTTTTTTGAGGTAGAGTCTTACTTTGTTACTCTTGGTAGAGCTGTGGCATCACAGCTCACAGCAACCTCCAACTCCTGGGCTTAGGCAATTCTCTTGCCTCAGCCTCCCAAGTAGCTGGGACTACAGGTGCCCACTACAATGCCCATCTATTTTTTGTTGCAGTTTGGCTGGGGCCAGGTTGTATCCCACCACCCCTGGTATATGGGGCCAGTGCCCTATCCACTGAGCCACAGGCGCTGCCCACTATGCATGTCTTCTGTGATGTTGGCAAATTCTTCCCCAAAACTTCTCTGCTTCAAGGCAGCATTCATTGCTTACTTGCATCCTCTCTCTTTTATCATCTGCTAAGACAGTAAAGTCTCTATTTCACACTTGTACTATGAAAAATAAGTGGACGTTATACATCTCCATGTAAAATATGCTTAAAACCATTAATGATGGACAGAAGTTATGTCAAAGGCAAATGAAATAGGTTTCATTTAGGCAAACATTTCACTTTTTTTTTTTTGTTTTTGAGACAGTCTCACTTTGTCACCCTCAGTAGAGTGTTGTAGTGTCATAGCTCACAGTAACCTCAAACTCCTGGGCTCAAGTGATCCTCTTGCCTCAGCCTCCTGAGTAACTGGGACTACAGGTGCCCACCACAATGACCAGCTGTTTTTAGAGATCGGGGTCTTGCTCTTGCATAGGCTGATCTCAAACTCCTAAGCGCAGGCAATCCACTCACCTTGGTCTCCCAGAGTGCTAGGATCACACATTTGACTTTTTAAGAATTGTTATGAGCTGTTTAATTTTTCGTATCAAAAAATCACTGTTACCTATATATCATGGCCTACCAGCTAATCACAGTCTTCGAAGATAAATTATTACAATAGTTCCTTTTAATAACAGCAAAATCAGGAAAGGTTCTGAAAGTCAGTACAGAATTTGAGCTTTTTTTTTTTTTTTTTTTTTTTTTTGCGGTTTTTGGCTGGGGCTGGGTTTGAACCTGCCACCTCCTGTATATGGGGCTTGTGTCCTACTCCTTTAAGCCAAAGGCATCACTGGAATTTGAGCTCCTTTTACGTTATAAGAAGTTCTTATAAATTTAAATGAAGCTGATTAACTGGTAAGTGTTAATGATGTAAAAAATAAACAGTCAAAAGCATCTAAAGCAATATGCAGTAGATATGAATATGTCAATAATACAGTGCTAAGAATTCAAAATCTCTTATAAACTCACATCGCTTAATATGACTAAGGATTCAAAAATTAGCTTTTAATAACTATATTCAATTTAATTAAGGAAAGTGACTATGAAAATATCCAATCTTCTTTGCCCATTGACTTAATAATTTCTCTTGAATACATTCTCAATCTAAAAAAACTAATTAATTTGGAAAAAATGAAAATATCTTAATGAAGACCAGGAGCACTGGCTTATACCCGGCATTCTGAGAGGCCAAGGCAGGAGGATCCCCTGAGTTCAGTAGTTTAAGACCTAATGCTAGCATTCTGGGAGGCCAAGGCAGGAGGATCCCTTGAGTTCAGTAGTTTAAGACCAGCCTGAGCCAGAGCAATACACTATCTCTACTAAAAATAGAAAAATTAACCATGCAGGGTGGTGTGCACCTATCATCCCTGGTACTTTGGAGGCTGAAGTAGTAGGATCTCTTGAGCCCAGGAGTTTGAGATTGCTGTGAGCTAGGCTGAGGCAATGGCACCCTAGCCTGGGCAACAGAGCGAGACCCTGTCTCAAAAAAAAAAAAAAGTCTTAATGAAGCAGCCAATGCACGCATGTAAAAATAAACATACACATGCATACTCACACAAACCAATCCACAGAATTTACCAATTTTATGGTGTAAAATCTCCCCCTGGGAAATTCTCAAATAACAAAAGAGAGTGTAGAATTCTCAGCATTTAAGTAATAGATCATTTATTCCAGCGCCCATATAATTTACTTTCATACAGTTTATTTATTTAGCAGAAAAAAATCAATTATAAAATCTTACATTTTAGAATCTCATTATACTAATGTTTTCACTTAAATGAGGACGTCAGAGTAACAGCTACCACTTAGTGATCAGTTGTTACTTTCTAGATATTGCATGAAGCACTTTTTTTTTTTTTTTTTGAGACAGAGTCTTACTTTCTTGGTAGAGTGTCATAATGTCACAGCTCATAGCAACATCAAACTCTTGGGCTCAAGTGATTCTCTTGCCTCAGCCTCAGGATCAGCTGGGATTACATGCTCGGCTATTTTTAGAGATAGGGTCTTGGTTGGGCTATATACACAGTCTTATTAATCCCAGCAACAACCCTGAGATGTCAGAATTACATATGTATTTTAAAACAAGCAAACTAAAATTCAGGGAGGTTAAGTGGTTGACGTGATGTCATACTATTAGACAGAGGCTGAGCTGTAACTGGACCATCTGTCTGACTCAAAAACCACAGTGTTAACTAACTATGATCATCCTAACTATTATTTCCTTAAAGCAAGGAATGTTCATTCTTGACTCCAGGCTCAACTTCAGATTTCAATCTGACTTCCTCAGAAGGAAGGAAAACACTCACTGCTCACGCCAAGTCAACAGCTCTGGTACATGTGTCAGTAATATGTATTGTAATAAATTAAGTTCCAAACACTATACTTTCTGGTTCAACAACATGGAATCCTATAAGGGGCATCAGCTTCTAAAGTCAGCAAGAAAGAAACCACATGTGGTCAAAACCACCTTGGGCTACAATTACAGAAGTACCACATTGGTAACCAACTGCTTCGCATTATTTCCAATATAGAATGTTTCCTTTCCAATACCAGAAGAGATTGGTTTGTAAACTGTGTACCAAATATGGAACCGGCCTGTATTTCAGAGATATGCATGTTTATTGAATAAAATATCAAAATGGCAACGATTTAAGTTGTCACTTTGCTCTTCTTTTCCTCAACAAAAGATATTTCTTTTTCTAAACAAAAGATATGTACCACTCATATAACAGCTATTGGTATTAGGCTCTCTTGAACACGACAAAGTAATTTTGAAAACACCTTTTTTAAATTCTCAATGTTCTCTCTAATTTTTCATTTTTTAAATATCTTTTGTACAATATTTTAACAGAAATAGATAGTAAGTTAGATTTAATTATTTATACTAAATTAACAGACATTTCCACATTTTACAGAAGTCTTATAATCGTAGATACTCAGATGCTATGAACATGTACACTTTTCAGATTTTTTTCTCCCTCCAACTGAAAGTTGTTAAGGTCACAGTGATCTTCCTAGGAGATGAATTTCCACGGAGTTCCTCATAATCTTTCATTTCCCTCTGCTTTGGTAATCCACAGGAAACTATCTACTTTTCAATGTCTACCTTTCTCATGAATACCTATGAAATCTAAAACTCTTGGAAAATGATATGTAAATGCCAAGTGCTACAAAATGCATCGTTAATTTATATTTGTAAATGTAATTTTAATTTAACAATGGTTCTTCTCTAAACCCCTTACCAGAATTCCATCAAGAATTTTATATGGCCTACTTTCATGTTAAAATAAAAAAGCTAAAAAGAACAGGAGTTAATGTGGAACGCATGGTTGTTGGGGACAAAGAGAATAAAAATTACTTTGCATTTGAAACTATTTTTTCACTATCCCCTCTCAGCTATTAAGATAATTCAGATTTTCAGCCAACTGCAGGTGTGTAACTTCACCAGGAAACGCTATCCTGAATTATAAGCAGAGCACTCTCACCAAAATGGTCTAACATTAGAAATCTTGGTCACATGCCCCAAATAATTATTATCCTGTAGCTGTTACATTTTCCAAGATGGATAACTGAAATTCCCAAATAACTCTACAACTATCATAAATACCTACAACTACTTTAAATACAGCCACTTCAAATTTCATCCTCCACAAAATCAATGGTAGGACTAGGATGGAAATCTGGTGGTCTGAACTTCAGGGCGTAACAAATGACAAGGTCATTTTCACAAGTACAGAGTTCAACATGAAAAAAAAAAAATGAACAAGGCCAGGAGAGGTGGCTCACACCTGTAATCCCAGCAACTCCGGGAGGCTGAGGCAAGTGGATTGCCTGAGCTCAAGAGTTTGAGGGACCAGCTTGAGCCAGAGCAAGACCGCCCCCCCCCCCATCTCTAAAAATAGCCAGGTGTCATGGTGGGCACCTGTAGTCCCAGCTAACTCGGGAGGCTGAGACAAGAGAATCACTTGAGCCCAAGAGTTTGAGGTTGCTGTGAGCTGTGACGCTACAGCACTCTACCAAGGGTGAGAGTGAGACTCTGTCTCAAAATAAATAAATAAATGATTTTTAAAATCCGTAATTAAAAATCCAGAATTGAAAACACATTTTCAGTACTCTGTTGCCTTTTGAAATGAATAAAGGAAGCAGAGTAAGAAAACAAGGAGCAAATAATTTCTGTAGGTTCACAAACACTCCTCCGGTTATTTTCACACCCAACACACCCCTTTTGGGGACACCGGCGCCCGAAGCCCCGCCTCCAGCTGAGGGTCAAAACTTCCAGAGTCTAAAAGATGCGCCCGGACTCAGAGATCAAGTGAACGCTTTTCTGGTTTTTCAAGTCAAGACCCGGGGACCCCACGCCGGAGGCTGCGGCGCCCGAGGGCACGCCCAGGGGCTCTACCCCCGCGGCTCCCGCCCGCGGCCGCCATCGCCCAAGCCCGCCGCCCGCTGCCTAGCAACGCGCCGGCTCTGCCTAGCAACGCGGCCCGCCCCGGCCCTCCCGTGCCCGCAGGGGACTGCGCAGGGGATTCATTCTACCTCCTTTTTCTTCTGTCCTCCCCCGAGCTGGATGCAGAGCAGCAGCAGCAGCAGGAGGAAGGGGAAGCTCCCGGTGGGCAGGTACCGCAGCCGCCGCCCCGCCTGCCTCCGGCGTGAAGGAGCGCCCCTGGCACCCATGGCTGCAGGGCAGTGTCTCCTCCACGCGCGGTAACCGTGCGCGCCCAGCTCCTTCCGCGCTGCGCACCTGCCAGGCCCGCCTCCGGGAGCCCCCTGGCTGGGCCCTCGGGGGGTGGCAGCGGCTTCGCGAGGGACCCGGACGGCAGCCGAGGACGCAGAGGAGGAGACTGACGGAGCATCCGGTTCACCGGGAGAGGGACCTGGAAAGGCGCGGGATGGGGCAGGAAGTGGGCGTGGCGACGGCGCCGGGCGCGGGGCGCGGGGCGAGGCGTGCGCTGCTCCCGCGCTGCCTGGGACCCGCGCCTGGGGGGCCCGCGCCGGGCGCTCCCCGACCCAGCTCGAAGGCTGCCCTGCGCTGGACCCGTTCCTAGGTCCCGGGAGAAGGCGAGGAGCCTGTGAGCCCAGGGCTTCACCTGGAGCTTCGATCAGACCTAACTGCCGTCGTGGGGGATGAAGGAACCTGGCCCTGTAGCCACCAGCAATCTCCACTCCCTTTGGGGCTTCGTTAGGGACGCAGCTCTGTCTCCCGCGGAGCCTTTTGAAGTCATCCATTTAACACCCCCCAGAGCTCCCTGGGCTCATGAATACCATCTCACAACCTCACAGCTGTTCCTTCCAGGTGCATTGGAGAGGCCTAGGCGCTAGTCCAGTCTCCACTTCCTTCATTCGTTCGCTTTTTCATTCCCTGTTGACCAATTACCATAGTGCGGGGCACCATGCTAGCCTTATTTCGCGTTTTTAATGTACAAATGAATAGGCCATAATGCAACTGCTGTAGACTGTATAGTGAGCATGTAATATGGGGCTGGTGCTGTGGTTTTAAAGCATCATGTGTACCTTCTTTGTTCCTCTACCTCAAGATGTCTTCGTTTGTGGCGTGAGCACCTTTGATAGTCGGATGAAATTTATAGAAGCAGTCTTCAGTTGGTACATTATCTGAAGTGAAAACTCAGAAACAAAATCAAATACCACTTCTTCTCATAAGTGGGAGCTAAACGTGTGAACATGAATAGGAAGTGTGGAACCAAGGGCGTGAGGGTTTAAAAATTACCTACTGGGTACAGTGTACATTATTAGAGTGGCGGTTATACTCAAAGCCCAGACTTCACCTCTACACAATATACCCACATAACAAAACTGAATGCACACACCCCATACATTCATACAAATTACACATTTCTAAGTGCATAAAATTAAACAGGATTACTAAGGAACAACTATAATAAAATACCATTATCAAAATTAAAACAATTCGTCTCTTTTCTCATGTTGATCAGCAAACGTTTGTATTTGAGGAATAGTGGAAAGCAATGTGAATGTGAGAACTGGTGTGATTATGATTGACCAAGATGCACAGAATTGCAGTATTGTACACTTGGCCAACTACGTGACATGAAATCTGTGAATTCTGCAGAACTGAAATCTGCAGTTCTAATAAAAATGTTAATTTTAGAGTAGTGATGATCACAGTATTTCAAGATACCAGCAACAAGTGTCTGTCAGTTCTATGGGAGACAAAGCTGTGGGTGTTGCTAATAACTGCTGGGGACTGTGGTCTATTCCCTGCCTTTGTAATTGAAGAAAACTTTCATGTGAGTTCAACCCTTTCCTCTTCTTCTGCCTCATATTGGCAGAATGAGCATTATCTTGGGCCACACATTAAATACACAAATACTAATGAAAGCTGATTAGCAAAAAAAAAAAAAGTCTGTGTATATTTTTTGTGGTATCAGATACCACAGATAACCAAAAAAAAAAGAAAGTCCTCACAAAATTAACATGTGGATCACACATGGCAGACAGGTTGCACACCGTGGTAAAATTTAGTAGAAATAAGACTAATATTTTTCAATATGAAGTTCACATATGCTAAATTTTGCAGGCTCCACATTAAGACTCCTTGCTCCACAATAACCCTGTCAGGTAAGTTTTTGCATAACAATTTTCAGATAAAGACATTTAGTCCCAGAAGTTCCAACTCAAAGTTATATAGCCAAGAAAGGATGAAGGGATTTGAACACTGGTAGTTGAGTTCCACAGCCGTGTTTATGCCACACGGCCTTTTATTAAAGGAATTCACAGATAAATCCTTTATCACTCAGGCTTTCGATTTCCCACTATTATGTGCACGTTTTACCCACATTAATTATCCCTCTTAAAAGAAATTTTAGACAAATTTAATAGAGTTTATTTGAGCAAAGGATGCATAAATCTGTCAACATGCTAGTTCGGGGAGCTCAGCTGCAGCAGAGAGAGAAATTACCTGATTGGCTATAGGGAGGTGTTTGCCTTATTTGGGTACAGTGTGGCAGGGCATTTGCCTTATTTGGATATGGTCTGATGAGAGTTCCCTAGCTGAAAAACCAATTGGCTGGTTGGCTGTTTGTGATTGGCTGGGGCTCAGTGTTTTGTTTTTTCCTAAGGCAGCTACAAGAAATGTTTCCAATTAAGTATTGGTGTGGTTGTATAAGACCTCCGGTGGAGAAACTCCCAAAAGATTAGCTGCTTGCTTTTTCTTTGAAACTTGTGAAAAAGGCCTTAGCATCTATCTCAGGAATAAATTTGTGATTTATACCAGCTAAACATTTAAATCTAGATGTACTCAACATAATCAAGATCCCATCACCTTCTCATTCCTCAAATGTAATTTATTGTAATGAATGATACCATGTCCTCCTAATTACCACTATTTAGAACCTCAGAGCTGTCTTTCATTTTCCTCATTCTCTCCAACCCTGTTGTCATCCTGTAAATTAAAATAAAATCTGAAGTCTTCCTCTCTTAACTATTGACTGTCTGGACCCCCTCATGGCCAAGGGGATCCCTAAAACTGAGTTGCTAGCTATGAGAAAGATCAGAAGTGCTTCATCAACCTCCTCCCCTTCTTAGAGATGTCCTCTGTGACTGACTCACTGACAGGCCTAAGACTATTCAAGATTTACATAAAGTTCCTCAAAATACATAATAAACCACTTGAGTCTGTCAGGTAGGAGACCTTTTTTCTTTTCACTGACTTCTGGTCTTTTAGACAAAGCCAAACTCTTTCAGCCAAATGTCAGTGAAAGGATCTTTAAGCCCACCTGGAACCTGTAAACTCCTTCTTCCAGATGTCCTAACATTTGGGGCCAAACCAATGTACGTTTTCAAAGTATTTATTTATAACCTGTCTCCCTAAAATGCATAAAACCAAACTGTAACCCAACCACGAGTCCACTTGGGTGTGACTCAAGGCTTCTTGGGTGTGACTCCGGGTCTTGGTCCTCAAATTTGGCTTAGAACTAACCTCTTTAAATTATTTGACAGAGGATGGCTTCTTTTCCATCAACAATCCATATTCAGTTTCTCCGTTAGAGCCTCGGGAATGTGTTTTCCCTTGTTGTAACTCTATCATTCATTAGAAAGACATGAAACATCATTATTAGTTGATTCACCTTCCCGTGTTTATAATCTTACTGTCCTCTTATACCAGCATGATTCAAGGCTCCTTAATCCTACCTCCCTGAATCCTGTTCTTAGTAAAGCAGCTGGAATGATCTTTTTTTATACACAAATCAGTGCAAAATATATTTTTCTGTCCTCACCAGGAAAAGCAAAGTCTTCCATACCCTCCGGACCTCGAATTGCCTTGCACTGGGCTACCTTTCCAACTTCATTTCCTATTGTTCTTCTTTCTCACACTGCTCCAACAAGGCTCACTGTCTTGTTTTCCCTGAATATGCCATGTACCCCCTCTCTGGCCTATGCATAGCTATTCCTTTTGTTGCAACCATTTTTACCTAGACATGTGTTCACACAGTATATTTCATTATTTATTTGAGGCAATGCTCAGATCTCCTAAGATGTCCCCTACTAGTTTCTGAAGTCCCCTACCTAAAAAATAAACTCCTTACCCTTCACACACACACACACACTCACACAGAATCCTTAACTTTTAATAATACTACCACTATCCTGACATTATTGCTGGGGGCTTGGGGTTCCGGCCCAGTTGGCCTGGTTCAATTCCTTGGCTAAGCTAGAAATTTCAACCAAGGCAGAGCAGGAATTGAAGGCAAAAATAAGTGGAAACTGAAAATAAAACTGGAGTGGCACAGGCAGTGTGGATAAAGAGTAAAGTACCCTATACAAGTTTCAGGGTAACATGGAGCTTTTATTTAGAAGAGAGAGCACTTCCTAGTTGGAAGTGGGTCCTTCTCACGGAGAACACAAGGTTAGACACACACAAGGGCACAGTGCAGGTATAAATACCCATTTCTCAGTTTGACATTGGTTTGCTAGTCTTTCACTGGTCTCCACCCGCCCAGATCATCTAGGAGGATCCGCAGACTTCCTTGTCCCACAGGCCCGTTTTCTCCCATCCCTCAAAGCCCCTTTCCTGGTGTCCCTTCTCAATTATGCAGTTTGTTTCTTGTCTCTCTTTTAGTGTATAAGCTCCACGAGACTGTGACTTTGTATCCACATTGTCTAGAGTAGTGCCTGCTCTGTTTATTATGACATCCATCACTAGGCAACCTCGTGCTGCCTTTCCCCAGTACAATGTAAACTTTAGGACGGTAAGGTCATTGTTTTCTTCATTTTTGAATCCACACTGCACAGAAGAAAGCGCTTATTGACTGAATGGATGCAGCCAGCCATTCTGTTTATTCCCTAAAGCACAGCACCAGTCATGTCATTCATTTTATTGCAAAGACTCCCCACAAGGAGTATTTCAGCGGCTCCCCACAAGGTTCCAAAGGCGATCCGAACTCTTCAAAATGGTTTACAATCAACTCAAACTCTTTACCCTTGCTCTAAACATAGACCTTCACACTGGAAGACAAAGACTTTATAAGAATTACATAGGCACAGATGCTTTTAAGGAAATGGATTTCCAGAATCTTAAATTCTCTGTGTACTGTCCTAACATGGGTTGGCTTGAAAAAATTGCCTGAGGCCAAGGCTGACTCTTAGCCAGCTCTCCAAGCACAATTAGCGTCTCTTGTTTGCAAAAGAAAGGTGTATCTCTCAGCAATCCTGAGTGGTGTGCTAAGGTGTGCTGCCTCCAGCTGTGCTGCCGTCCATGGGTCTCTAAACACTTCTACACCAAACGAAAGGACTGTTCTGAGAATGTGCGGTGGCCTTGAAAAAGTGAAGGATTCTGACGACTAACCAAAAAGTCCTTCAGCTAAATAGGGGTTTCCAATTTTCTACTTTCGATAAAATCGAAAGAGGCCAGAATCCAGTCTGAAAATCATTAAAAATACTTTCAAAGGTAGATTGTTTCATTTTTGACACCGTATTCCAAACGAGTTCAAAGC